AACGCTGATAGATTTGAATCCACCATTTAATAAGATATGGGTCGGGAAAAAAGAAAACCAATAATAATATTCTTTTTCAACGACAAGAAGTAGACCGAAAGTAGAGATTATCTTCAAGTGTACCGACTGCAAATTAGTGAGTTCTTCCCCACTAGGTTCTTAAACATGTACAAGGTTACGTTTTGAACTCGCAACTACTCGTTTAAGTGATGAAAACTCTTACTCTTCACGCTGACTTAAGTTAATCTAAGTAATACTCTCCCAGCCTCTAATATAACATCTAATTAAATAATTTAAGTAAATTAAAAATGGTAGTTAAATAAGTTAATATAATATGCTCTTTTTAAAATGCCAGAAATATCTTTCTTACTACTTCCGGTTCTAATTTGAGGAGATTAAGAAAATAAGTTAAGTTAGTTATTTGTAATAAATATATGTTGTCTTTTCTCAAATATTCTTACTAATCAAGTTTGTTGGCTAGAACTATTATTATTAGAAGGACTATCTTTAAAAAAAAAAAGATAAATATGAGAGACAAAGTGGATTGGGATCTTATAATTAGGATCAAAATAAAAATCAAACAAGGTCTTATATTAAGGACCGGAGGTAGTAATTTTCTTTCTCCCCCTCCTACTTGATTATTGTTAGGAGAATATCAACAAAGTTAATTTGAAAAAAAAATTAATAAATATATGAAATAAGTCTTATATATAGAACTAATTTCAATTCTTTAATTAAGTTTTACATTGAGAATATGGGTAATAAATTTTACATACGCAGAGGGATTATGTGCTGTCCTTGTTCATCTTTTCCTTTTTCTGAGATTTAAATTCGGGGAAAAAAAAATACTGCAGATATTTGAATTATTGAGCATCATGTATGATGAGAGCATAATAGTAAAAGAAGCAAAGTGCTCCTTTGGAGGGTGTCTATATATCCATTCTGATTTTTATCTCCTGTCATATTCAAAACCAAGTACTCCTACCGCGTAAAATATGAGAGACCCACAAATTGAATCATATCTGGAAGCAGAGCAGGAATAGCTTAGAGGACTGAAATAAGGGAATGGAATGATAGTGAAAGATATGAAGGGGGCATAAAAGCTCCAGATGGGACACGTCGTCGTTTACGTGTTTGTCTCAGATGAAATCACCCAAAAGAACCCCCCCCCCCCCACATATATATTATATTCTGTCATGGTCGGATCTGCAAAATCTGCACACAAAAATCAGAAGGTGTCACCTGGAGCACCTTACACCATTCTCACTCACAACTAGTAGTATAGTGTCCACTCATGTTCTCATGCTTATCCATTGTCATCGTTCTTCACGTTTCAAGTTTTCTAGACTGCTTACTCAACTCAACTCAACTCAACTTACGCACCTTCTTCGTCCTTATCTTCCCTCTTCTTTTCTATTGGATCTTATTTTTACCTCGCAATTCTTTATTCTTCTCTCCAAGCTTGTTAATACAATTTACATTTTTTTTTTAATGGCATGCATTTTGTTTTGCTTATGAGCTCACCACTCCCTCGTATAATTGTGATCACTCCTTTAATCACACCATATGAGGTTTCATCATGCATTTAAATAAACCATGACATTTTTTTTTTTTTATTCCGTCCCATGCATATCATTCTCCCCATTTTGAATTTTTGGTATGCTTCAAGTTTAGGTGAATTGAATTCAGGAGTTTATCAGGGTTAAGCATGCCTTTAGCCTCAAAAAAAGCTTACAAATCGTCCACTAACAAATTCTTGGTATTTCCAAAACTATGGTTCATATGTTTCGATTATAGATGCCAAATCCCGTCTCCTTTGGTTTTGGGGACCAAATGACATCTTTGCGTCGGAAAAATACTGAAAAGTAGAAAACTGGATGACTACAACTTATGAAGTCAGGAAATGGTTTTTTGTCTTCTTTCTATCTCTACAGCATATAGAGACAGAGTAAGGTTCCTGAATGATATAATGACCTTAGCGGTATATCCGGTTAGATCAGTTTCATGACCTTTTTCTGGGGTACACAAGATTACATAGGCAGATCATTACAGGAAAGTTTCATCAGATGAGATATTTCCCGCAAATGGTAACTGCAGTAAAACTACTGAAATGTGAAGCAAAATCCAGAACGTCCCTGGTCTTTGATGTAATAACTCGGTCAAAAGGGACAAACCGAAAGAGATAACATCATCTAGTACGAAAAAAATATCTTAAATTGGTCAGTAAAATAAAATCTTGTACAGCAAATCCCATGTATAGGTTGAAGATCATGGACTCTGGAATGTGTTCAGCCAAGCAAGTTTTGACGCATGGTCGGGTTCTATTGGCCCGCACTTAGGCGAGAAAACGATGCCCCCGTCATGTTGCTGCTCTGCAAATTCTTGGCCGTTCAAATTCTGCAGCTTGAGACTGACACTAGTATGGGAACGGCGAAGTGGGCCCCGCTCGCTCCTACGTGTCCTCCCCACAATGGCCGCCACCTTCTATATAGCAACTCACTGTGCTTATCATCTCCGCATGTCCCCACTATTCCCCGGTAATGGAGGAGATTCATCTACTGATTCGGCATCCACTCTTTCTTTCGTTTAGCTTCCTTGCTTCTGTACCTAGTTGAGTTGTTTTCTTTTTCATATGTTTTCACAAATCTTCTTAACTGGTGGCTGTCTGAACTTGTGATCATGTTACTACGAAGTTCGTCTGCTCCAATTCCAGGTTCATGGATGCCTCATTCCCCAGAATCAGAATTGATTCACCAGCTTGCTGGAACGAGATCATCAGTTGCATGTCTAAGCCAACCCTCATCTGAACCGGACTTTCATAGATCAAGGTCGAAGAAGAAAAGCTGTTTACCACCTAGTAACGTTCGCAAGAATCAAGAGAGAAACAAGATCAGAGAATGTGAGAAAGTAGTAGAAGAAGAAGAAGAAGAAGAACGACGACAAGAAACTTCACCTTCAGTCCGAGAACTCTTTTCATGCTGTGGTTTGGATGAGGTAGTGATGGAGGTTGATGCGAGAAAGAAATATAATATGGCTCAGAGTTTAGTGTTGGGTGGTGGGGGGAAAGGCTGTGATGGTGGACGTGGAAATCTGTGGGATTATTCTGAAGGTGGTAATCATGAGAGAGATAATACTAATGCTTATTATCAGAAGATGATCGAAGCAAACCCTGATGATGCTCTTTTGCTGGGAAATTATGCACGCTTCTTGAAAGAGGTGAGCTTTGATCACAGTGAGAAAGTTATTCAAAATTTCATCATGGGATTTTTCTTTGAGAGTTTGTTCTGATATTCAATTTGAAAATAGGTTTGTGGAGATTATCCTAAAGCAGAGGAGTATCTGGAGAGAGCCATTTGGCTAATCCAGGAGACGGTAATATTCTGTCACTCTATGCAGATCTAATATGGAAAACACAGAAGAATGCTGATCGAGCTGAAGGATATTTTGATCAGGCTGTTAAAAGTGCCCCTAATGATTGGTAGGAAATCAACCTCCCTTATGGACCTTTCATTTATGAAAATATTATACACTATAGATCTTATTTAACTTCCTGATAGATGCAGATGCATTTGTTCAAGTGGTGTTAGTTTAGTTTTTAAGATCCTTTCCTATTGCTACATTCTATGAACATGTTGGACATGAAACCCAGCCCCTTTGTCTTTAGAACGCTAAATTGTTGTAACTTGATTGTCTAAAGTAGTTGCTTTAATTTCGTGTTTTATGTTTTTGTTGTCTTATTCTCTCTTGGTTGTTTATAAAACTAAATAAAGAGCCTCAAAAGCTGCAGCTATGTTCTGGCTTCATATGCTAAATTCCTTTGGGATGCTGAGGAAGACGAGGAAGATAAAGAATCAAAGAAGATATCAGATCACAGCCATGCATATCCACTGGATCCATTCCATGGAACTAACAACCACCCTCGTTTGCCCGCAGCCTCATAATCTCACTCATCTTTGTCTCATATTTCAGGAAATGAACTTGAGAGCCGGATAAGGTAATGCGGTCTTTAGCCCTGGGGGAAGGACAAAACTTGTGTTCAGTTTTAGATCTTGCTATCAAATTTTCCACCAAAAACACAAAGAAAATGAAGGTGTTTTACAGCTTGGTTTCACATCTGAAAAAGATCTTCCATGTTTTAGTGTATTTGAACTTGATAGCAAACATCTAAGGAACTTCCCAAGTCTTGTCCTTCTAAAATGAGTCAAAGGTTGTAAAGCGCAGGGGACTGTATCACTATGAACTCTGTAAATAGGTTAGACCTAATAACAAGTAGCAGCTTTCAGTTCCTCTTTGTACTAATCAGGTTCCCACTGATGTATCTTTTGAGCATATCAAGTTTTGGTATGAATAAAGAGCAGTTTATACTTCTGTAATCATGTGATTTTGTTTTGGTATTCATCATTACTAAGGTTTAGCTGAAGATAATCATAATATTACAAGCTTTGGAATAATACCAACAATGCGAAAACGTCTCAGTATATATAATCTGTTTAGTGTGATTCCGAATCTATTATGTTGGTGTAAACTTTAACCTCGATGTTTAAATATTCCCAAGTGTGTGAGAGCTTTAAAACAACTCGCAATCCTATCGTTCAAGTGTTGGTAGGGCTCGGGACACATGGCCTTTTTGTCTCTTTATGGTCCATTTTCTGTGGCCTGCAACAATTTCTTTATGTCCATCGCCCCTTTTATTTGTCTCTTGCTTGCTTTATCTTTAACTGTTAATGAGGAGTTGATATCAAGTGTTCAGTTTGTGTCTTGTCCAATTGATGGTAAATATTGTCATTATTCATCCACAATTCATTCAATATAGCGACGCTTCCAATGACTACTAAAATTACTGGAACTAAACTAATATGACATATTGTGCAAATCTTCTTTAACTGAAACTCTATTACAAAGATCTAAATTTTGGCTTAAACCAGCTTATCTCTTTTAATGTTGTTGGCTTTAACTCAGCTTTAACTGAATTGTGCTAATAAAAAAGACAAAATTCAGAGTTGAAGTGCACGCAAAACTTCTTATATCCTTGTACAGAAACATCATGAGGACATATTCTTAGTTTATGATTACTTTTTTCATCTAGGTCCTGATAACTGAACGCAGGATAGGGGTACATTGCTGTAAAAAGAACCCTGTGTTGATGAAGAAGCTTGGTCATTACCCATTTTTAGGAATGATGAATAAGAACTTGAAGTAGATAATGATGGGGGCTCAGGTACAGGGATAACACCTTCAAGCATTTGAACAACTTTGGTCATTGGAGGCCTTAAACTCATGTCATCTTGGACGCACCAAAGAGCAACCTTGGCTGCAGTGAGAGATCTTTCATCATTCTCTTCAACGTCTATCATTGGGTCAAGAATTTGCTTCAATTTTCCTTCTTCCATCATCCTAAAAGCATATGAAGGAAAATGCGCTTTCTCTGAGCCTTCCCATTGATCATAATTCCTCCTTCCTCCAATAATCTCAAGCAGGACCATCCCATAGCTGTACACATCACTCTTTTCTGAAATTGCATAGTTGGTGATCCATTCTGGTGCCAGATACCCTCTTGTTCCCCTTAGTGTTGTGAAAACATGGCTCTGTTCGCGGCTCATGAGCTTAGACAAACCGAAGTCTGAAACTTTAGCTGTGAAGTTTTCATCAAGAAGGACATTCTCTGGTTTGATATCACAGTGTATGATCTTCAGCTCACACTCCTCATGAAGATAGGCCAATCCCCTTGCTGTACCTAATGCAATGTTGAATCTGGTATTCCAATTCAGCAAGAAAGCATTTTCATGGCTTCTAAAGATCCATTTGTTCAGAGAGCCTCTTGCCATGTATTCGTACACCAGAAGGCGATGAGGGCCTTCGGCGCAGAAGCCCTTCAGCTTCACCAGATGAACATGGTGAATACTTCCAATGCTGGAAACTTCAGCTTTGAACTCTTTTGCCCCTTGTCCTAATCCTTCCAGTTTCTTCACAGCCAATTGAGATCCATCGTCAAGCACGCCAAGATAAACTGAGCCAAATCCTCCTTCACCAATTTTTGTAGAGAAATTCTTGGTGGCTTGACTTAGAGTACTATACCTAAAACGAGTTGGCATACCATGAAGATTGTCCAAGAAATCATCCTCCTCCTCCAACGTTTCTGGAGAATTCTCCAAGAGATGCTTATTTTTGCAGTAATGCCAGAATCCTAACACAAGTGCAATAATAATCAGAATTACGAAAATAACTACAACAACAACTAGTACAGTCTGATGCCTTCTTTTTCTTCCATCTCCATCTTCAATGGAGATCTTCATGAATGAAACATAGCCTCCAGAATTCGCCTGAGAGCGTTGGAAACTTCCTGTCTGATCAAAATGGTAGCACTTTCCTGTACTGTTTTCATAGAAAAGCACAAGGCAAGAGCAGTTTCTTAAGCAGCCTTCTTGGCAAGCGCTCAGGGATGATTTAGAAACTGGCTGAACATACTTGAGGGCAAAGTAATCGAGCTTTTCACCGACATACAGAAGGTCTTCTTGGGTTCTAGAACATGAGGTGGCGTTTGGAGGCTTGCAATTAAAACGAGATTTGAGAAGTGCAGGACATTCACACCAGTTCTCGAAGAAGCAAACATAATAACGATCACAAGGCTCAGCAATACCACAAGGATCTTGTGGTATTCTAGTTGCTTCAGGGGTAGCTGATTTTCCCTTGTTCAGATCATAAAAAGAGATTGCACCATTAGGATCTAATATAGCAGCCCACATTGCCTTCGGATCAGATTTATCAGAGAAGACGGATTGCCATTTTAAAGCTCCACTTCTGTCATAGACATTCCAAGAATTTGAAACCAAAGAAGCAGAATGAAAATGAGCCCCCTTACTGACATTGCTTTCGCTTGATAAGGACCAGTATATCTGAGGAGGATCATATCCAGCATATAAAACCAAATCATCAGACATAAAAGTAAGATAACTAAACAAGTTATTGCGGTTACGGAAGCTTTTGAGACTCATTCCTTCAACAAAAAGTTGATCAGGCAAAAGGGTATCGGTAGGATGGCTAAAACTCTGCCAAATCACTCTTCCTTCTTCATCAATAAGCACCAAATTTCCTGAATCCTTCAGTTCCATGGCTCTAACTTTACGTCCTCCTGTGTTGGTTGCCCAAACCACACCACCCCCTCTTTCCAGATATGCATTTCCAGTATTGTCAAACACAAATTTATCAGAGTTTCTTACCAGCAAGCCTCTGTTAGCAGTCCAAACCACTTTATAGCTTTTCAAGTGAATGACAACTAAAACAAATAGGGAAACATCGAGAGTACCGAAGAATCCAAAAGCAAAAGCCGAGTTGTTGGATAGTAAGAACAATCCACCATGGTCATTCCAGTCCAGCTGAGATGCCTCGAATCTGGGATAAATCTGGCTTATGTGTTGATGGTCCGCCAGACACACTCTTAGCAGAAAAAACACATAGATAAACAAGGTTCCACTTCTGTATAAACTCATGTTTCTCTAACTGGATGAAAGTTCTGAGTTTTACTATAAAAACCAAAGGGGAATTAGGAAGCTCAGGGTAAATCAGTACTACTAGCTGGCCAACACAAGACAAGAAAAGTAAAAGAGACTACCAAAAATGGATGGACCCCTTGAAGAAGAAATATGTTATTATTCATGCGTAGGAATTCAAGGACATGTTATATATGGAGATACTGCTCATTAAAGAAGAGCAAAAAGGACTTCCAGAGAGGGAGTGACCATGTGCTTCATGCATTTCCCATTCAGTTGAAGACAAGAAGTGTGATGAGAAGAGTAAGAGGAATTGTACCATGAAGGAAGAAGGGAAAGGGGAGGTGGAAAACTTGAGTCGCAAAGGCAGAGAATGAAGAGTTCTTCATAAATTTATGTGAGGAACGAGGATGAAGTTCTCACCTACCCCTTTCTGTGTATTATGTTTTGCTGTGTGGTCCCTTTGCTTTCAGATTACTTTCTCTGCTAGTTTGTGGCCGATTTTTTTCCTCTTCGCGAAACGCACAAAAGCTTCTGGTTTTCGTGGTTCCTTTTTTTGTGTTTATGCAACAGACAAGGATCTTAATTCTTAGGAATAAAAGAAGATGCTTCAAGCCATCAGCTGAAAAATTTGAAAAAAATTAGTAGTTGACAAGACGAGAAAATAACATGAAAAACTCTTGCAAATCTTCTATATTCATAGATTTATAGTATTTCTGAATGCTCGTATTGATGGGAATCAGTTGATCCCAATTAATCTGAATGCTGACAGAGTCAAATGGGGTCTAATTAGTCAGTCATGGCCGTCACATTTATGTTTAGTTATTGGCTCCAACTGCCAACTGCCCCCATTTATGAGAGTTCAGTGTCAAAGGGGAGCACAACACTTGAAAAATAAAGCTTGGGATGGTTAGGGAACACACAGTGACTCATTTCATTTTAGGTTTATTTACAAGGTACTTCCAGCATGTTTCACACAGATTAAGGAAAACCTTAAACTTTATTAATTCTCATTAAAATTTAATAACTTTTCAAATTTATCTTTATTTAATATACATTATATCTCATATAAAAAAAAGTCAACACAATAATAAATAAGGGGTAAAATTATACATCCATATAAAAAATTTTCCTCGGTACCTTATAAATAAGACCAAAATATACCTTCTTTCTCTGTCCTATAAATAAGACCAGAGAAATACTGTATTAGTATTTGTCTTTCCTTTCTTTTTTATATATTTTATAATTTGCAGATGCATTATAATTATAAATTTTAAAATAAAAAATCCACGTGCAATTCAATACTTTAAGTTCGAAATTAAACTCTTTGATCTTACATACAAATTTGCTATCAATAATTTTAATGATTTAACTTATGTGAAAATATAGGATATGTTTTGGTTGCCTTGCCATATACTAATGTACAAACTTTATGAGCGTTTTAATTTTAATAACTTCCATTTTAGGATTTTTTCTGATTTACCCAATTTTTAAATAAACACAAGGATGGGTGGGTTTTATATATTTATATATATAGGACCAAATCTTTCTAAAAGAATTATGTCCAGGAGAGTATTTAGGATAAATAAGAATTTAAAAGGTTGCGTAATGGTCGGGTAATTAATTACGACTTTGAGGCTATAGTTTGGGCAAGTGTAAGTGGTGGGGTTGATTTGATTTAATGCTTTTGTCAAACTTGGTTGAAATATGTGAATGTTCTGGACCTGCACGACCTTAAACTTTTTTGAGTCTCTAAGATGACAAACCTCCCACCGTCGAATTCATGAGAATAACCACACTTCACTTTGTAAAGTGGATTCAATCACATGTTCCTAGTTATGTGTGTGTATAGGAGTAGTACTCTCAAATACTGCAGCAGGTTATATAATCTTTTGATTTGATGAATTATCGAACACTAAATGTAGTTCTTTTTTCATTTGAGGAATTATTGAACACTAAATGCAGTAGTACTTATTTTAGTAAGAATTCAAAACCATGATTTGTCGAGGTATAAAGAACTAACCTTTCTCGACATACTCAATCTTATTAGTTACACAAATTATTTTTTTTTTTGTAAAAAAAAATTGTAGGTAAAAGTTCCAACCTAATACACAAATCTAGTGAACTGAAAATCCCAAATGCAGATTGTTGGTTTTCCTTCAACTTTTTTTTTTTTTTACTAGCACATGTATCTTTTTATTAAAGACAATCATATTTAAACACCGTCAAATATTAAATTAAAATATCTCTTAATAAAAATTAATCTTAGTTTGTTATCTTTTTCACCAGATCCAAATATTAGTTCCTTTTTTGTCACTGAAAAAAAGGACACCCAATGCCAGCTTAATTAGTGCAACAAAATTCTTTCTTTTGTGGTACTAATGGTGTCCAGTTTTCATTAACAAAGTTAATGGGCCCAAAGATTTTGGGCCACAAAGTTGGGTGATGGGGCGAAATGGGCCCTGTTAAGATGACCCGTCTCCCCCAAGCCTCCATGAGATGCACCCATCTTCCATGCGTCCAACCAAGGCATAATAAACTTGTATGATTACGTTGGAATAGGATTAAATACATAATTTGCTTTTATTTGTTCATCCTCTCTTGAAGAAGCTTAGAGGACATAGTGAGATTTGCACTGGCTTACTTTATTTATTTCATATTAATATAATGAAAGTTGTAAGGCAAAAAAATAAAATAAAAAAAAGGCTTGGGGGAAGTTGTAATGTCAATCTGATAAGAAATAAAGAAATCATTGGAGATGTTGTTTTGATTTTTTTTTTAATAAAGCAATGATTAATTTTTAAAAATGGATGGCAGAAGGCGAGAAAGTCAAATGGAGGTGACGAGGTAATAATAGCCATGATAAGGATTCTAATTGTTACAAATACTACTATTACTTAACTCCTTATAAATTCCAGTTGCTGGTTGAGTCTCATGTTCTAATTTGGCCAAAAAAAAA